ATAATTCAAACCAAAAATCTGATGATGCCTACAAAAAACCGTTAACTCGTGTCTATTATTTAATAGATTATTATTATTTAGAAGTTTAATGATGTGCAATTTTTCATGGAGGCACATTGATGATAAACGGAATTGCACCCTTGTACAGTTCGATATCGTGGACTACTACCCATCAATTTCGAAGGATTTATTTCTGACTGCCCTGGACTTTGCTGCTGTGTATTCTAACCTAACAAAGGATGAAACGGATATAATCCTCAGCGCAAAGAAATCGGTCCTCGTTCACAATGGGGACCAATGGATAAAAAACAATAACGACCTGTTTGACATCACTATGGGATCGTTAGACTCTGCAGAGTCTTCTGACCTTGTTGGTCTCCTAATACTGTACAATTTAACGGCACACCGCGAAATTGATGTTAAGGACATCGGGCTGTATAGAGATGACGGGCTCATGGTGGTGAGGAGTTCTACTAGTTTTAAGATTGAAAAAATCAGAAAAATTATATTTAGCGAATTTAAGAAACTAAACTTAAAGATAACTGTCTCTTCTAATTTGAAAAGGGTTAACTTCCTCGACGTAACTCTAGACTTACCAGGCAACACATGCCAACCTTTATAGAAAACCAAATGCTAACCCTTTATACATACACCCGAAGTCAAACCATCCTCCATCAATAATTAAACATATACCTTCATCAATAGAAAATAGAATTAGCATTAACTCCGCAAACAGGGAAATATTCCAACAACACAATGGCTTCTATAACACTGCCCTAAAAATAGTGGTTATAAAAATGCTAACATTAACTACAGAGAAAATTACACTGGACATAGGAAAAAAAACAGGAAAAGAAATATCATTTGGTACACCTCCGTTCAACCAAAAGGGTTAGTATTAAACTAGGACAGAAATTCTTAGCTCTAATTAATAAACACTTCCCCACCAATAGTAAGCTTAGTAATATATTCAATAAGAACACCCTAAAATTGAGCTACAGCTGCTCTGATAATCTTGAACGCATAATAAAAAAACACAATAATAAGATCTTGAACAAACCCCCATGCCAAAACAGTATTAATAAAAACTCTACACTAAAAGCAGATGATAAAAGGGAAAAATTATGCAACTGTAGAAACCCAGAAGACTGCCCATTAGAAAATAAATGTTGTATTAATTCTGTGGTATACCAATGTACTATTTCATCCACAGAGCCCTAGCACTAATATGATATACATTGGGTCCACGAAGAATAATTTTAAAAAGATAGATGGAGGCAGCATAATTGCTCCTTTAATAATATAAACAAACGAAATCGAACTTCACTATCAAAAATATTTTTGGCACCTGAAGGAAACAAATAAGACACAAATTATTGACAAGGCTAGAATATGTAAAGCTTGGGATGACCCATGCCCTTTTGTGCCCATGAAAATTGCACATCATTAAACTTCTAAATAATAATAATCTATTAAATAATAGACACGAGTTAACGGTTTTTTTAGTAGGCATCATCAGATTTTTGGTTTGAATTATTAAAAAATTTATATAACTTGTTTAACAAATAGCCCAATCATCAGATTCATAGTAGGAATAATTAACTACAAACATGCATACTACATAACACACTTCATAATCCATAGCCTAAATTAGTAGTTTAAATACCTTACATATAAGATAACCCTTTATGAAGTCGTCAAAAACAAACGTTACGAAAGTTTTTTTTTTTTTTTATATGCATAATTCCCCTTCATAATAAAATAAAATAAAATAAATAAATAAATCTCCATAGACAAACAAACTAGACGATGGCCAATACATCTTCCGTTTCATTTTTGACACCCCACCTTTCCCCGACTTGACACCTTGAAAGTATCTCTATACCGCTACTTATTATAAACACCCTACACGCGCCTACCCAATTTAGACAATTCACCATAGCTGTTACCATGGGGATTTTGATTTCAATTTTAAAACAAGTAAATTTCAGATATACGTTATTCCAACAAAAATTTCGCTTGAGGATGGAACAGGCTCCATTTTACTTTCAACTCAATTTAATTTAAAGGATTATATTGAAGTTTTTGGCTCTAGTTTTGAAACATGAGACCTCTTATGTAGCGATTTGGAATCATATTTTAAATAAATAGTTATATATATATATATATATATATTCGACCCTTCAAAAGTGTAGATGGTCCTGCACGAAACCTTCTGCACCCTTTTATCAAATCTCATGTGCTGTTGTCGGCCCGCCTGTCTTCCTCCCTCATAATATTCTTCTATTAACCCTCATACATTCAACATACTTTATATTGTAAATTTTTTATAAAAATAATTATATATATATATATATATACTCGTCTGACGATCGCAAAAGGTGAAACCCAGGGTCACAAACCCATATCAATCCAACCAAATATGTTAGCTCTATCTCTGATATTGAGCGCTTTCACCCTAAGTACTGCGCATAAAATATATAAATAATTTTATATATATATATATATATATATATATATATATATATATATATATATATATTAAGCAATAGAAAATATTAAAAAATTAAAATCTTCAGACACACTGAGTTGTAGATTAATATTTTTTCGTTTTTTTATTATTATTATTTCATTTAGATTCCTCGACTAGTTTCAGCCAAAATGGCCAACATCGGGAGAAGAAATATTTCTGCTTGCTGGTAGCAGTAAACTACAGAAATATAATAGATATAAAAAATATAGATCCCCATAATTGTAGTAGACCCTCAATATATTTAAAAAGTCTTTTATACTCGAGAAATAAAAGAGTGATAGAGCTGAAATCAGAGTTTATCTGATGATCGCAAAAGCGTGAAACGTCGGGTCACAAACTCATATCCATACAACTGCATATATATATATATATATATATATATATATATACCAATATATATTTGTAATAAGTATTTTAAACTCCCAGAAATCTTATTAAAGTAAACTTTACAAAAATTTCCCCTATATCCATATCAGCAGACGAAAATGAAATAGTCTTTAAGAAATAAACGGAACGTCTACACAAGCATGGGCATCCAGTAGAACTAACGTTTAAGTACTAAAAACTGTAAGATTAATAAAATAACAAAACATTACTTCTTTAGAAATTGCATAGTTATTTATATATTTTTAACTGTTCTCCTTTTTAAAATAGAGGTCTCGGCTTAGTGACAAAAACAGACAGTTGTTTTTGTCACCTGTCAAAATTAGAAAGGCAGGTGTGAAAAGGTATTATGTTTTTAATAGTAATTACCAGTTTGTCCGAACGGCGACCACATATTAAAAGGAAAAAGGCAAGGAGATCTCCGATAGACCAATAATTATAAAGGTTGACAAATATTGACCTTTTAATTCTGGACGCATTTTAACAAAATTGGTAGTGACGGCTACAATTAAGTTGGTCAGTGAAAAAACGACAAATATTGTTGGTGGTAATGCGTCCGGAGAGAGAAAAAAAAAAAGGAAAAAGAGCGTGGGAGGAGATAACAAAGGTAATAGAAAAGAATAGGCTTTGAAACTTAGTATGTAAGTCATAAACTATGGTAACGTTGTTCTAGGAAAAGTGTTTCTCAACCGTTGCTGCCCTAAAAGGCAGGCAGATTCGCCACCAGTTAACATAAGATTAATTTAGGAAAAATGTTCATATCTATCTATCTATCTATCTATCTATCTATCTATCTATCTATCTATCTATCTATCTCATTCTGCTCATATCTATCTATCTATCTATCTATCTATCTATCTATCTATCTATCTATCTATCTATCTATTTCAATCTAGTTATATCTGTCTATTTCAGTCTGTTCATATTCATCTATCTCATCTGCATATCTGCTATCTATCATCTATCTATCTATCTATCTATCTATCTATCTATCTATCTATCTATTTCAATCTAGTTATATCTGTCTATTTTAGTCTGTTCATATTTATCTATCTATCTATCTATCTATCTATCTATCTATCTATCTCATTCTGCTCATATATTCTATCTCTATCTATCTATCTATCTATCTATTTCATTCTAGTTATATCTATCTATTTCAGTCTAGTTATATCTATCTATTTCAGTCTGTCTATCTATCTATCTATCTATCTATCTATCTATTCATTCTGCCCTATCTATCTATCTATCTATTATCTATCTATCTATTATATTATATATAATTTTGCTCATATCTATCTATCTATCTATCTATCTATCTTATTTCATTCCGTTATCTATTCATCTATCTTTATTTCATTCTTCATCATATCTATCTATCTATCTATCTATCTATCTATCTATCTCATTCTGTTCATATAATATTTTCGGTTTACGAAAATTTCGGGTTACGAACAGCCTTCAAGAAAGAATTAAATTCGTCTAGTGAGGTTCCACTGTATAGCTACTTGTGCTATATTATAATGCTTATTAACTGAACACTAATAATACTGAATAATCTAAAAATATTTCCGTATATTTATTCCCAATCATTCGCGATCTGTTCATAGGGAAAAGAAAACCAGCGACATGACTTCCATGTCTAAATCAATTCTTTGTCATTTGCTATTTCAAATTGGATACTAAATTCTTTAATCTTTAAGGAATAAATTTTCGATTTCTATTCAAGAAAAATATCATTCAGTAACCAGAAAATATTGGATTTTATGTGACTTACAAACATTAAATGCAAAATAGATAAAATATTAAATATTGATGACGAAATATGCAAGTTTATATATATATATATATATATATATATATATATATATATATATATATATATATATAAAATAAACTAGCTGTATATGATGAGCTGTGATACGGCGAAACTGTCTGTCTGTGGATGACAATATATGTGCTCCTGAAAAATTTATTTCATTTGAGCTCTCTGGGGAGGAAGTGTAAGTTTGTAAACAGTAACTATTACGGCTAATAATGCAAGACTCTTTGGCAAATCGAATCGAGTTCTCTCAGTCACTGTGTGTTTATCTAAAAATAAATACGCTTAAATTCACCTTCATCCCTGCCGTGGCTTAGTGGTAGAATCCCCGACTGACGCCAATTCAGTCGGGTTTCCATCCTATTCTATCCTAACCGGAACTCTAGCCACACTGATGAGCTGTGATACAGCGAAATTGTCTGTCTGTGGATGACAATATATATGCCCGTGAAAAATTATTTCAGTTGAGCTCTCTGAGGAAGAAGTGTGAGTTTGTAAATAGTGATTATTACTGCTAATAATGCAAGACTCTTCGATAAAACGAATCAAGTTCTCTTAGTCACTAGTATGTTTATCTAAAAATAAATAACCTTAAATTTACTTTCATCCCTGTCGTACACCAACACTTAGGGGTATATTCTCCGATTGACGCCAGTTCAGCCTAGTTTCAATCCTAGCTAGATGCAACCGGTAATGTAGTCACACTGATGAGCTGTGATACAGCGAAACAGTCTGTCTGTGGATGACAATATATATATATATATATATATATATATATATATATATATTATGAAATGCACATGCCCTTTATTTCGCTCAGTGGGGTAGACTGTTCTAGTTGCACGTGCCATGTTTAATGGATGTCAGTTATCATTTATCTCCCGTTAATTTCCCTCTGAAAGTTCTCCACTGCCTTAACCGGGTATTGAACTCGCACTCTTTGGGTCCTGTCACTGGATTTAACTAACGCCTTTATCCACTGTGCCATGTGGCGACAAAGATGAGGACAACAGTCCAAATAATATAAATAGCGTACATAATACCTCATCTCAGAAATATAGACAGATACTAAAAGGCCGAAACGTTGTAATAAATATGGCGACAAAGATGAGGACAATAGTCCGAATAATGTAAATAGTATAGATAATACCTCATCTCAGAAATATAGACAGATAAAGAAAAACTAGATTAATTAGGTACCGATCTCTTAACAGCTGTTCTGAGAGTATAAAGAAAAAGGAACAAAAATAGATGTCGGGCTATCAACACGAATAAAGAAGGGCGTCCCAGAAGAGTAGCGAACACCAAAAGAGACAGTGGGACCAAAAGAAAATGGACCCCAAACAAGAAGGGGTCACCCAAAAAGTACAAAACACAAATAAAGGAGAACACGCCAAAAACTAGGGTACTCCAAAAGTGAAGGGGTGCCAAAGAGAATAAAAGATGATATTCTGTTGACATAGAAGATTGCAATCTGGCAATAACGGTCGCAGAATAGCAGACGCAGTTTGATGCGATTCTATGACGTCGTTCAACCTGAGAAAGCGAAATATTAACAAAAGAACCATATGTCTAGATGCAATTTAATTAAGTTTTATATATATATATATATATATATATATATATATATATATATATATATATATATATACCATACTGATAAACACTAATGAGTATGTCCCAATTCTCATAAATACGTTGAACACTATTGTGTGGGTGAAATATGATGTCTAAATAGGAGAGTATTTTTTATCTTGTTTATATATATATATATATATATATATACAAGTATATGATTTGTAAATAAATTCCAATAACCAACAATTGCATTCAACATCATCACTTGATAAGGCACTGGAAGTGTTGAAACAAAATGGCTATTTTTGTAGTGATTTTATAACATATTTTTGTTATTATTTTTAAATAAATAATTATATATATATATATATATATATATATATATATAAAAAATATTTAATTAAAATAAATAATTTTTCATTTAAGCTCTACTTCTGTATGGAGCACTGTTTTTTAAAAATAAAAAAAAATACTAAAGAGCCCTGGATTATTTATCATTTTCACCCGAAATTAAAGCAAATATACGGAGTTTAGAACGACTCATGATTAAACATTATAGACATTCGTTGTCTGTTATATTTAACAATATATGTTTGAATAATGTTCTGCCGCCCCAATACACTATATATATATATATATATATATATATATATATATATATATATATGCTTAATTGGCTATAATTGATAACAGAAGGCATTGGTTTATACCAATGGCTTCCCATACTTAATACTTCTCGTTTTCACTTACGCGTGGTCATGTGTGACGTCATGAGTTGCGGTCCGATTTTCGCTCCCAGCGTCTTATATGCACGAGTTTTCGTTGCTTCGAAATGTTCCATGTAAACAAAAAGAGACTATCATTATTGTTTTGTCCGTGCATTGCTTAATATATTGTAATGTAATTGTTATCTTTGATAATGGCATATGTAAGCCGAAAGCTTTGATAGGATTAAAAAATATGTATCAATATGGCGATTTTCTTTCGTCTTTTAATACTAATGTTATTAAGCTTATCAGACGATATGAAAAGAATTTGCATAAAATGTATAGACAAAACTTGTGTATATTATTGAATAAAATATGAATAAATGAATATATATATATATATATATATATATATATAAATATATATATATATATATATATATATTTGTTCGACAGTTATTTCTGATTTATGTAGATTTAGTTAAAGAAAAATGAAAAAATTATATTTTATTGTTGCTACAATTTTCTATTTTCGATATATATATATATATATATATATATATATATATATATATATATGTATATATATTCATATATATATAAATATATATATTTCATATATATATACATATATATAAAATAGATATATTTACATACACACACACACACACACACACACACACACACACACACACACACACATATATATATATATATATATATATATATAAAAGATTTTCGTACCTGAACCGGAAGTTTGGTTTGTTTAACGGTATATTAGCTCCTTATGGGTAATTTAATGCAAAAATTTCATTGGGAGCTTTTGTAATTTTTTTGGAATATTAAAATCTATTGCTGGATTTATTTATTTCTTTTTACTATTAAAATCTGTTGGTCAAATTTGTTACTAAAACACTCATAAAGTTTTCACCCTAGGTCGACGGTTCACTATTTGTCCATAGCTGGGACACTAACAGGTGCTACCCCCCCGGGCTAGTGGGGGACCTGGGATTAACAGTGATTCCACGCTCCTCAATACCTTTCGACCGGAGTCCTTACTGCTGGATGTAGTTCATTGTCATGCCCAGAGCGTTTAACCGGAAGTACAATGAGTTCATCAAAATCGTTAAATTCATGTAAATAAAGTTCAATGGCATGGTGATCCATCATTGTTTTCATTTTTCATTTTTATTTTATGTTATAATTCCATTAACATTGTTTAAAATGGCTGACTGAATTGAAGCCGACTGGCTGCTTTTATTTTCCAGACAAAGGGAACAGTAACAAAGGCAATGACTTGTAAAAGATATTTGACAAAAAAAAAAAAAAAATACGGAGGCTGTTGACTTAATGAGAACACTATTACAGAATTTACCATTTTCTAAATCCGTGGCACGTCAAGGTCCAGAGGAGTGATGCTTCCGTATACAGTTGCTCGGCTTTTTGTCGAATGTGGTAGTAAACAAAGTAGTGAGGCAAAGTTGATTCTGCTTGCACCTTACCTTTTCGCTGGCACCCCTATTTTAGTGCCCACCTTGATATTTGGTGCCGCCCCCCTTCTCATACGGTAGACCGTTCCTATTTTGTACGACTTCTACTTTTCGCGTCATTTCAATTCTGGTTAACCTCTCATTTTTTTTTTTTTTGAATGTCGTTACTCTTTTAGCAACCTCTTTACTTCTGAGGTTCCATTTTTTTTTCGTACTTCCTTATATGGTATAAACCTCTTATTTTTTTACCTCTTCTTTTCTGTGTTCATTCTATTTTGGTAATCACTTCCTTTATTTCAGTACTTTCTTTTTGATCTCCTTTCTCTTTTGGCAACCACTCCTTTTTGGAGCATACTTTCTTTCTGGTGTCCATTCTGCTTTGGTAAGCACTTCATTTTGGGGTGTACTTTCATTTTGGTGTCCATTCTGTTTTAGTAACCACTCCTTTTTGGGCGTTCTTTCTTTTTGGGGTCCATTCTGTTTTGGTAATCACACCATTTTAAGGCGTACGTTCTGTCTGGTGTCCATTCTGTTTTGGTAGCCAGTCCATTTTGGGGCGTACTTTCTTTTTGGTGTCCATACTGTTTTGGTAACCACTCTTTTCTGGCGGTACTTTCTTTTTGGTGTCCATTTTGTTTTACTAATCACTTATTTTGGGCGTACTTACTTTTTGGTGTCCATTCTGTTTTGGTAACCACTCCATTGTGGGGCGTAATTTCTTTTTGGTGTCCATTTAGTTTTGGTAACCACTCCTTTTCTGGCGGTACTTTCTTTTTGATGTCCTTTCTGTATTGTTAACCATTGCTCTTTTGGTACTTTCTTTATGATGTCCTTTCTGTTTTCACTAATAAAAGTAATCTCTTGTACGCATACAAGAGAAAATATAAAAAAACTTATCGCAGAACGTTGTTAGTCATCGTTAATGAAACATGTATAAAATAGTGATTGCTGCCCAAATACACAAGCATATGCATAAATAAATATATATATATATATGTGTGTGTGTGTGTGTGTGTGTGTGTATACATTTATTATGACTTCCCGTGTTGAAATGTAAGATTTGAGACATACGTTAAGGATGTAAGTAAATTTTTATTTATAGGCTTGCACTTGCCGCCATTTGGTATTGGTGGACGGGTAGTGGGGTGGGTTACCCTGTGAAAAAGCATTACCGAAGACATCAAAGGGATAATTCCGACTTTTCTACTGATATCAACTCTTTTCGTCTTGCCGATTATACCCCACCCCCCCAATTCGCTTCTCACGAGCACTTGCATCTTTCTTTCTTTTCTTATCTCTTCCCGTTCATTCATTCATTCTTCCTTTCTTTTACTCCTCACTTTACCCAATGAATCTTTCTATATCCACTTGTTTTTTTTTTTGCTTCTTTTGTCCGTCTCCTCCCCCATTTTCTTATGCATTTTTTAACGTTTCTTATCTTTTAAAATACACTCTTTCTTTTCTCTCACCCTCTGTCTCGCTTTGA